CCAGGTCTTTGCTTGAGGTGTAATGGGGCCTGGCTGTTCCCCTCCATATTTTCCAAGTTGCTGGATGGCCCCTCCTTACCTGTCAGGGAATAGGGGGGAGTGAGTGGGGGTCATCATGATCCAGGCCAGCCCCACCAGTGCTTGTGGGTCATGGTCCTGTTGCAAATGGCCTGTCACTTTGTGACACCCCCATGTCCCACGGGGGCACTGGCTGCACAGGGAGGTGGGGACAGAAGAGGAGGTTGTGGTACTGTGGTCACACTCTGGGTAGGAGAGTCTGAGGGGGCCTGCTCTGCTGCCACCTCTCTCTCTTAGGAGAGGGGATTTGGCTCCTCAGCGGCATTGAGCCAGCTCCTCTCCCCAGCTGGAAGTCACTTCCCTCAAACAGGATGCAGGTCATGGTCCCAGCTGCCCTTGGAGGAAAATGTTTGTGTGCAGAGGAGCCTAAGAGAAGCCCTGCCCAAGAGGATCACTTATCTCCTTATTTTCCTGTGGGAGGATGTTCTGTCCTGAAGCTTCCAGCAATTTCAGCAACTCTTATTCCCTACACAGACCCTCGCCAGGAGAGGTTGGCACTAGGATAGCTATGAGCTCCTACTAGAGCAGCAATCTACCCTCTTGTGAGTCAGTGTCAGGCCCTCAGGATGGGAAAGGAGGGTGGCCTCTACTTTTCAGTCGGAAGTAACTCTGCTGGCTTGCTTTCCCATTCAGGATAGCTTTACTGCCTGTCTTTCTCTAGCGAAGTGTAGGATGGAGACCTTGGATGAGTTTGACAATGAATACCCCCTCAGTATGTCATTCTGCAAGCTGATTTCCCCTGAGGACTTTGAAGTACAGTCTTTATCCTACACTGAGCAGTGCCTGCAAGAATTGTATACAAACATGGAGCAGAGCCCAGGGATCTGTGAGAGGGTCATGCGAAAGCGGAAGCAGATGGAGAAAGAAGCATCTGGCCTGGCATCATTTTTAAAGGTACCTGCAGTGCCTTCCTGACTAACAGCTCCCCCCACCAAATATCTGAGATTATTGGGGGAGATTTTATCAGGAATAACAGCGAGAGAATGTTCTCTCGGAGCCAGGAACTCTTGACCACTCTAGTAATGAGACAAATCACCTTGTAGTTTTGCACCACCACTCTTTCCCTGTTTCTGCTTAGGCTGCTGGTATCTGTGCCACAAGAGGAGGGAAAAGTCTGTTTTCCAAATTGTGCATGAGCTTTCCTGAAACCCGCATCCCTCTCAGGGTTCCCCCCTGCCTCCAGCATGGAAAAGCCTGGATGTAGCCTCATCACATGGCCTGGATCAATCTCTTCTGGGACTAGGGAATGAAGTGCTAGCTTGAGACCACCACTCTAGTCTCCACCTGCGTGTTGACTCTGATTCTCAGATCGCTATTTGCAAAGTGGTCCAAGCTTTAAGGGGAGTTAAATGTTACTGAAATCACAGGTTATGGTGATATATGTTCAGCCTGGTCAATATGAATCCAGTCATGCGATTTCCACTAAAGGGAATTATGGGAGCAAATTCCCCTCACCCAATGGAAAAATTACTCTCTTTTTTAGGAGTTTTTTATGTTTGTTTGCTGGGGGAGTGTGCAGGGAATAGAGACTGGAATCGACAGAGGAAGTGCTACTGAAGCTATTGTTGTACTTCCTCCTTTTCCATGTAGTAAGGGCTCTTTAGGTTGACTCGGATACTCTCGCCAGCTCTCTATCTGCTCTGTGACATTAACTTTCCCCTGATTCCAACCCACATGAATCTAATGGCAGCCTGAAGGCACCTGACCATTCTGTGTATGTCACCGCTCTGGCAGTGTAAAGGGTCCTTAAAGTCAGTGTAAATGTCCCCCTGAGACTTCCCCTTGTGCAGGGAGCTGCCTGACCAGTGTAAAAGCTCTACCCCAGTCCTTCTCCTAGTCCATAGCATAAGGGTCCATTGAGGGGATGGCCAGATTTCACAGCACTACAGCTGTTCTCTGCTTAACAGAGTTCACAGGGAGCTATGGGAAGCAGAATGTTAGAGCAGCCCAGAGGCTGCTGCAACTTACACTGCGAGCAGGCACAGCCCTACTCAGCATCAGAATAGGGGGGGGTAAAAAGATAGCTTCAGGCTATCTTTGTGATTTCAGATCACTAACACTCCCATTGCACACAGAGCCTGGTTTTCAGTTGCTCTGTTCCTGTACTTGGGGCAGGGATGGAAGCTGTGGGAGGGACAAACAGAACATCAAAGCCATAACAGCTGGTATGTGGGATACTGGAGAGATGGTTAGGTAGTCTTGTGAACCAACAGTCCACCTTGGCTATTAGACAGCAGTACCCACTGCAGAGGCGAATAGCAGTGCCTTACCCTCCATTCCCCCCCCACCCCCCATGTTGTTTTCTAGGCCAAGTTTTTCTGGACACTTCAGGGAGAGATGAATTACTGTAACTATGTGGGGATTGCGGAGATGCAAGAGAAGGTGGTGCAGCTGAAACGAGACATGCAGAAAGTGAACAGCTATGCTCGGGGTAATCCCTGTGCTTCAGTATCCATTTAGACATGTGGCACAACTCTTGGAAATTTCCCTTCTTGGCTCTTCCTCTCAGACTCCCCTCTCTCCATCCTGTGGCTTGTGATGCAGAAGAGAAAATGCAGCGATGTTATAACAGTGCCTTTCCCTATTGGGAAGGGATAACTCAGAAGTCTAAGCTCAAGCTTGAAATAGCTAAGCTCTCTGAAACAGCAGGCTTAAATCCACCCTTCATGCTTCTGAGGCAGTTTCATTTAGCTAGCATCTCTCTACTGATTTTTATCCATAGATCTGAATGCTTTACAAAGGGAGATAAGCAGTATTATCTCTGTTACCTATGAAGAAATAGCCTCAGGGAGGTGAAGTGACTTTGTGAAGGTCACACAGTGAGTTGGTGGCATGGCTGTGAATTGTACCGAGGTCTTCTGTCTCCAAGTCTAGTACCTGGACAACACAGCCTCCCCAGTTTGCCTCATTGTCCTGTGCCAAAATTTCCCTTTCATTGTGCACCCGTTGTGTGCCACTCTCCCACCCCTGAGCTGGCTATGTTTTAGTGGTGGTTTATGTATAAAAGTTTGTGAACCACTTTGGGATGTCTGGGATGAAAGGTGTTATAGAAATATTAGATGTAATTGTTTGTTAATTAGCTGTTTGGATTCTGATGGCCATTTTCACCCCAGTCTATGATATAGCTCTGATGTTTCCTTCTCAGTCCTCGGCCTGGTAGTTATATTAGCAGCTGGTATAGAGTGGGAGAGGGGGTGTGGGGTGTGTGTGTGCGTGTGTGTATCAATCTACAGCACTTCAGCATGCCTCACACTAACTCTGTGGATCCTCCTGATGCACATTAAAAGTTCCCTAGTGTGTATTGACATCCTACAGCTTGAAACAGAGAGATTGGGGACTGTCCCTCATCATTCTGATCTAGTTGGCGGACAGCAGCTCTGAGGTCTGCCCAGAAGCCTATACAACTGTATAGTTTTGAACTACTTAGAAGAGCAGGGAAAGGACAGCCCTTGACAGGGAAGTGCTCTCTCTGTATCCCCACTCTAGGGTCTAATTCCATGCATTATTAGGTAGTCTGTGGTAGCTGCACGTGCACCTCAGGCCAGGCTGGGGGTAACAGTCCAACTAGAGGAGACTGTAAGCTACACGTGTCAAGGTGTCCAGATGCTAGAGGTGAGTGAAGGATGGAGTTGCATGTCATGGCCCTGCCCAGATCTAAGGTGTGTATTTTGGGGCTCATTGGGGAAATCTTTGCTCAACATAAGAACGGCCATTCTGGGTCAGACCAAAGGTCCATCTAGCCCAGTATTCTGTTTTCTGACAGTGCCCAATGCCAGGTGCACCAGAGGGCATGAACAGAACAGGTAATCATCAAGTGATCCATCTCCTGTCGCCCATTCCCAGCTTCTGGCAAACAGAGGTTAGGGACACCATCCCTGCCCATCCTGTTTAATAGGCATTGATGGACCTAACCTCCATGAATTTATCTAGTTCTTTTTTGAAACCTGTTATAGTCTTGGCCGTCACAACAACCTCTGGCAAGGAGTTCCACAAGTTGACTGTGCGTTGTGTGAAGAAATACTTCCTTTTGTTTGTTTTAACTTGCTGCCTATTAATTTCATTTGGTGGCCCCTAGTTCTTGTGTTATGAGAAGGAGTCAATAACACTTCCTTATTTACTTTCGCCACACCAGTCATGATTTTATAGACCTCTATCATATCTCCCCTTAGTCGTCTCTTTTTCAAGCTGAAAAGTCCCAGTCTTATAAATCTCTCTCTTACAGCAGCCGTTCCATACCCATAATCATTTTTGTTGTCCTTTTCTGAACCTTTTTCAATTCCAATATATCTTTTTTGAGATGAGGCAACCACATCTGCAGGCAGTATTCAAGATGTGGGTGTACCATGAATTTATATAGAAGCCATATGATATTTTCTGTCTTATTATCTATCCCTTCCTTAATGATTCCCAACATTCTGTTAGCTTTTTTGACTGCCGCTGCACATTGAGTGGATGTTTTCAGAGAACTATCCACAAGACCCCAAGATCTCTTTCTTGAGTGGTAACAGCTAATTTAGACCCCATAATTTTATATGTATAGTTGGGATTATGTTTTCCAATGTGCATTACTTTGCATTTATCAACATTGAATTTCATCTGCCATTTTGTTGTCCAGTCACCCAGTTCTAAGAGATCCTTTTGTAGCTCTTCGCAGTCTGCCTGGGACTTGACTATCTTAAGTAGTTTTGTATCATCTGCAAATGTTGCTACCTCACTGTTTACCCTTTTTTCCAGCTCATTTATGAATATGTTAAATAGGACTGGGCCCAGTACAGACCCCTGTGGGACACCACTATTTACTCTCTCCATTCTGAAAACTGACCATTTATTCCTACCCTTTGTTTCCTATCTTTTAACCTATCTCTCTTTCTATACACTTTGGAAAGATTATGTCCAGCACAAACATGAGTCCAGCATCTCAGTTGCCCCCTCTGCTTGAGCAGGGTTTTCCTTTTATTGTGCTTCCACGTGAAATTGAACTGCCCTGAGGCTTAGAGGATATTTTCCAGGACGAGGAATTTGTCCAGCAGCCTTTCCATCAGGCCTGGCATCCATTCCTTCAGCAGCAGCAGGGGCTTTAGGGTCCAGTAAGGATATATGACCTCTCGATGTCGCAGCACACCAGCCCGCACCACTTCCCGTGCACACTCTTCTTTGGGACTTGCCTGCATGGTGATTTTATCACCGATGATTTTCAAAGCATTGTCTGGGATGAAGAGAACAATTATCACACAGGGTATCTCCTTTCCTCTCTTCTTCCAGATTAAACAGACTGCATCTGGGTGCATTGGGGAGCATAAACTCTCTGAACTACAGGAGCCAACACCCAAGCCTTTTCTATAGTTCTTAAGATCATCATCATGTAATAAATCTCCTGACCTCCCCTTATTCCCCGGAGATTATCTCTCAACATCTGGATGATATTTTTCCCCTTCTGCACTGTGTATTGCAGCCTAATGATTGGGTCTGCCCAGCAGAGAGTAGCATTTTTGTTTTACCTGTGTCAATATATCCCAGCACAGCAACTGTGACTGAGAGACTGATCTCCCGAAGGTGCAGCTCCCTGCGTAGCGAGCTGTAGAATCCTTCCAGAGCAAACTTGGCTGCATTGTACGAGAGGGTGAATGGACCTCCAATGCGACCTGAAGAGAATCAAAGCAATAGGAATAGCTGAGAAGTTCCCCCAAGGAAACGATTTGCTGAGGGGAAAGGTTTTAGGCAAATGGAGCTGTCAGAGGACAAACTGGAGTCTCATGTAGATCCAAGTCTAAATACTGTTCAGATCATTTTTCTGTTGCATAACTGCCAACCTCAGACACCAGACATGTCTTCTAGTAGATGGGGCAGCCCCACCAGCTCTTGCTGGGATCCCATCGAATCTCACAAGCTAAACAGTGTCAGGGCATGTCATGGGAGGAGACCTCCAGGGGCACCTGTAGATGGTTTGGTAGGTGGCCCTCTTTACTCTGCTTTGAGTTCCTACTCAGACTAAATCCCCAGCGTAGCTGCATTTCAGTGATGGGTGAGTGATCCCAGTGAACAGTTTGTACTGAGCATTTTGAAAGACAGATTTGGAGGAGAGTTGTAATTACCCATCCTCTGCCACCAAAGAGTTAACAAAACTTCTCTGGAACTAGAAGCCTTTGTAACAGGCAGGAAGAGATTGGCTGTTGTTGTAACTAATGGCTTTTCCTGTGGAGGAGGTGAGATGAAACAATGATTCCACCAGTATTGTTAGCTGTGAGATTGGTTTGACTGAGTAGGGCAGTTTGGATGCGTTCACTGGTAACTGAAAGGAGCAGCCTTCCTTACCACTCAGGGACGATATGACAATGATGCTGCCCTGAGACTCTTGCAGCATGGTCATTGCAGAAACTGTCAGCTGGACGTAGCTCAAGAAATTGACAGTCATAGAGCTGGTCACTGCTGCCATGTCTCCTTGGAATGGGCCAAACCGGCCACTTCCCCCAACGTGGTTCAAAACCAGGTAGTCAAGACCCCCTGAAAGAGAAGGGGAAACACAGATTCAGATGAAGTATGTGCATCTGTTCTTGGATCAGATGGATGCGGTACACTATCTGCCCTCCCCGCTCCAAGATAGCAGCCGTTCTGAATCAGAGTCTACCAGAATCAGGGGATCTGCAGTGGGATGCACTCACATTTCAACCCAAATATTTCTTAGGTGGAGCTAGACTTACAGCCACTGAAGTCAATATCTAAACTCCCACAGATTAAAAGGGAATACTACTGGACTCTGGTATTGTCGGCCTTGATCCCAAGCTAATTCCCACTCTTTGTTCCCCAGAGTTGGGATGCACATCAACTATTCCCATATACCCTCCTGCTGATGCTCGTTTCGGCTGATGGCTTTGGAGTCAGGGCCCTAGCGGAGAAACCACTCACAGCTCCATCCTGCTTATAAGCCAGTGGAGCCATCTCAGGTTCTGCTTTTCTCTCCTCTGTGCAGACTCCTGGAGACCTCCCCCACTCTCACTGCAGCCTTCCCCCCCTCCCTGATAAATCTGACCTAGCACCCACTGAATGTCTGACTTGTCTGCAGCTACTCCGTGCACACTCGAGTGCTCCATTGTGAGAAATGGTGCTTGTTCCATCTGACACCGCGCACAGGCCGCTTGGGATGAAGCAGTCACTGTTGATTAAAGCCAGGACCCTTTTCCATGGAGGGCCCCAACATCTGTGATGGAATAATACTAATGGCTGTTCAACTTCCCAATGAAGCTGCCCTGCTACCACTGAGGTTTAGTGCAGGGATTTCCCAGCTGGGGCCTGGGGAAGTCCCCGTTGTTTGGAAGAGCACCTAAACTGGTCATTCTGGAATTATCTGCATCTCTGCTGCCAGTTGAAGTAATTAGTTATTCAAAAGAGAGCTGCACTAACCCTACAGGGAATCAATGTTTGGGAATCTGCGTGGCTGGGCCAATTCCTAGGATGATTAGGCTTTTTCCGGGTAGCAGAAAAATGGAGCATCCTGTTTTAGGGAAAGGCAGCGTGGGTGATTGGAGTAGTTGACCCAGGAGAGGTCTGTGTCCTTCCCTGTCCCAGGAGGACACGAAAAAGGAGGGAAGCGATGCAAGTTTTACCCAGTTTGTTTCTGGTTTCTTCAATGACATTCTGGGCTGAAGTCAAGTTGTTCATGTCGGACACCACGTGCCTGGCGGAACTCGCCCCCAGTTCCAGACACTTCTGTGCCACCTGCAGAGAAAAGAGCAGCCATCAGCAAAGAACCTGACACTGCAGCAGGCTGTGCAGCCTTCCGCGTGGCAGCTGTTTCATAGCACAGAGTAGAGCGTGCAGCTGCCTGCTTCAGTTCGCCCCAGGTTAATGGATGGGGCAGGAGCTCAGTCTAGCATGAAATAGAAGGGACTGAATGCAGCTGAAGAATCACATTGGGCAGGGGAGCAAAGAAGTGATGATTTGCAGTAGCGTGCTCAAGGCCACATCCTGGCCTCGGGTGTGAATACAATTTCTGTTGAGAGAAGGGGGTTGTAATGTGGGTGGGTGGCCAATGTGTCCTGGCGTTTGGCCACCTCTGCACCCTGCTGTGTGGGTTTGGAGAGTGGGGTATAATAGAAGCCCAAATGTTCCATTTCTCCACCCTCTTTGGGTTGGGGGTCTTACCTCCTTGAGCTGCTTCTCCCTCCTGGCAGTGAGGAGCAGGTGTGCTCCCATTCGTGCAAACTCATAGGCTATTTGTTCCCCAATCCCAGTGCTCGAACCAGTGACCAGCACACGCTTCCCTCGCACCATTTCTGGAGGTTTAAAAGGCTGTTAGCAGGAATTTGACCAACTGCTTCCCTAAGATACTGGGCATCAGGGAGCCCCAGGACTCCAACACTGATTCTCTAAATCCCAACAATATGTGCCATCGAAGAAGGTCTATCTTTTCATCTGTAAAATGGAGGTAGTGATACTCTAGGAGTACTGAGAGTATTCGTTTGTAAAGTGCTGAGTACCGGCACCAAATTGTTTGTACAACTGGGGAGTCGTTACACCTTTGATCATCCTGACCTGTTGGAGGAGAGACCACTTGTGATATGGGCTTATGTGTAATTGGACAAGTTAGGGAGGGAAAGGACCTGTTAGGTCACCCCATCCCTCTCCCTGCCACTACAGGATATGGTACATTTACTAGAGTTTGTCCAGGCTTGCTTTAAATGTCCCAAGCAATGGGGCTTCCACCATTTCCCTTGGAAGACTATTCCATAGGCTAATGCAGCTCTCTGCAAATGTGGCCTTGCCCGCTATTACAGAAAGCATGTTCCCCAAACGCATGGCTCCTGTGATAGTTCCCAATCCCCAGAGGGAGCTCATGGTGAGCACCAGAAAGTTGGTTCTCTCAGTGGCTTCTTTTAGAAAGAGGTATTTTCTCCCTTTCCTGATATTCGGGTTCCCCAACCTCTGAAACAAGGTTATCCCAAGTCCTGGTCTGTCTTTGCTACTCAGAACCAGCATTCCTCCTTTGTCACCACCTGGAGGAAATCTTGCAGCCACAAGCTTCCATTGTGATACCACGTCTGTAGGAAAGTATCTGGCTTCTCTTAGGGCATCATTGGGGCTCATTTCCTGTCAACATTCTGCATTTTCTAAACTCATTGGAGTGGTTCCCCTTACAGTGGAGACTGAGCCACATGTTCCCTGCTTCATTACCCCCTTTTACACTGGCCTTTCTCTCTGTTCACCTCTTGTTTTTCAGCTCCAACTTTCTGTATACCTCTTAAATAGATCATTGTCATAGATCTAACTTAGTTTTAGAAAGTATTTTCAATTGCTTTGGATGCTGACAGTAGTCACCAAATGGGGGGTCATCTTTTCCCTTTACACTGAGCTGGGAGAGTGCCACAAAAGGGGACTAACCTCCATCCTGATTTCAGCTCAGTTTTTGGCAATCAGCGAAAGATCTGACTGTAACAGGGAGTCAGCGCTAGCCCTCTTCTGTGCCTGGGGTGTGAATTCCCTGGGGTCCCATCCTGCTTTGCTTACCTGCAGATAGGGTTTCCTGGCTGTAGAAATAATAAGCACATAGGCCAACAAGGAGCGAGAGGAGAAGCCTGATTGCAGCCATTGTATCAGCTCTGTGCGTAGACACTGGAGTGAATCATTAAACCCAGCAGGCTCTTTCATGTCCAAGTGATAAACAAGTGAGGGTCACAATTTGATTTCAGCATATGTCACTGTCCGATTTCTCTCACCAGCCTCACATTGGAGCACTTCCCTCCTGCCAGCAGTTTGTACTAGACTAGGTATGCACTGGGGCAGCGATTTACTGTTTAACCCAGATCCCCTTTTGCACAGTGCACCACATATGGTGCCATCCCTTCTGAGCTGCATCCAAATGAACTGGCTTGAACTACATGGAAGATGTTAATTGGCTCCTGTTTAGGGAGACAGTTACTCCCCTTTGTTGTGGGAGAGCAGACTCTGAAAGCTGCTGCAGACCATTAGCAGCCATTTGAATGTCCTCTTACTGTCCCTTGTCAATATGAGCATTTTGAGGGATGGGGGGTTAGGGTGAGACCCAAAGAACATTGGAGGCAGCTTCTCCATCCTGACTGGCTGGTGGGGAGGGTCACTAAACTGTACTATATACATTCTTGTACTTTGCTCATCAGCATAGTATCTGAGTGCCCTCCAATAGTGCATTAAGCAACATGATTAACATCTGCCATATGTTGTTTGGTCTCTGATCCTCTCTCCACAGGGAGAAGTGTGTGCATTGGTGTCTTGTTTTGACAGTTTTTTTTTAATAACTGGTGGTGTGACTTGTGATGGATCTTAGTTCCTGAGGGAGTTAATGTCATAGAACTTTCTCAAAAAGAAAAGGAGTACTTGTGGCACCAGACTAACACGGCTGCTACTCTGAGAACTTTCTCAGGAGCTGGTCCAAGACTGTCTCCTGCACAGACAAGCTTTTACCCTTATGGCAGAGAGAGCCATTGAGCCAGAGGAACATAGAGAACATTATCAGTGGAAAGCCATTGCCTCCCTCAGAGACCAGTAGGGTGACCAGACAGCAAATGTGAAAAATCAGGACGGGGGTGGGGGGTAATAGGAGCCTATATAAGAAAAAGACCCAAAAATCAGGACTGTCCCTATAAAATCAGGACATCTGGTCACCCTAGAGACCAGGGTGGGTCTGAATCTTCCCTTGTGTATGGCACTTTGCAGGATTTTTCTCACTGGCTCCCCACCATAATGGAGTGATAGAAAGGTCCGGAAATGCTCTCCTGCTTGGCAGTCGTCACTGGCTATAAGAAAGGGAGGCTGGAGAGTTTGGCTCCAAGTTCAGACAGAATTCACTGTGAATGCTAGTTATGTAACATAGCCTTAATGCTAAAGTGATGGGCACATCAGAACCGCCTGCAGCCTTTCTGTTGTGGGTCTGCTGTAAAGGAGAGATTAAGAATTATGGTCTAGTCCATCCTGAGATAAAACTGGCTCAAGCACCCACCACAGGGAGATGGTTCAGTTGTGTAAGCAGGGAAAGCTGGCTGAGTTGTTTGGATTGCTATGCTTGAGAGAGATGCAGTGAAGCAAGTCTGAAGCCTGTACACAGCACCCTGTGCTTGCCACCACAGAGGGATGCTCAAGCTTGTGGGATAAATGCCAGCAGACAAGAATGGACAAATAGCCCATCTAGTCTGGTATTCTCCCTCTAACCATAAGAGGTGTAAAACCCTATTGGTCATAATATACCTAACGTTTGATACTGACCCATTGCAGGGGAGAATTCAGATAATGCCTTGAAGCATGACAACTGTTGGCCCTTATAAATATTCCCCTAGCTGGTGCCTCTGCAGCTGCCATTCCTACTCATATAAAGTGTGACATTATTTTAAAATGCATTGGGTCTAATTTTCAAAGCTATAAGCAAAAATGCATAGGTTTCACTTGCACTTTGGGTATGGCACTTGGCACATGCCAAGAGCTAGCTATGTATCTTACTAGCCATCACATGCACAAATAGTAAATATGTATATTTGCCTCTAGCTTTTTGAAAATCATGCCCTCTAGACTATAATAAGCTATAACGATGCACTAATATATTGTGTCTGTGTTTCACTTTTTTATGTAAAAAAGAAAAGGAGGACTTGTGGCACCTTAGAGACTAATAAATTTATTTGAGCATAAGCTTTCAAGAGCTACAGCTCACTTCATCGGATGCTCACGAAAGCTTATGCTCAAATAAATTTGTTAGTCTCTAAGGTGCCACAAGTCCTCCTTTTCTTTTTGCGGATACAGACTAACACGTCTGCTACTCTGAAACCTGTCACTTTTTTATGTGTTGTTGCAGCCATGTTGTTCCCAGGAGAGGCAAGGTGTGTGAGGTAATATCTTTTATTGGATCAACTTATCTTGTGGTGAGACAGAGACACTTTTGAGTTTACACTGGTCTCTTCTTCTTCTAATATCCTCGGACCAACACAGCTACAACAATGCTTCTCTATACCAGTTATTATTTCCTATATTCAGACAAACTCAAGATACATAGGTTACAGAAAATGGGTGCATGTGTGCGTGTGTGTGTGTATGCACAGAGTTTGGGATTTTTGCCAAAAAAAAAAGGACCCAGCCTCCGCTGAGCTGCAGGCAGGATGGGTGGATAAAGAAGATCAATGGGTCCCTTTTGGATTTTAATGACTAAGAGGAATGTCACTGCATTAGACTGAAACCCAACAAATCAAATCTGTTTTAACTATGGGCATTCACTGGGTATGTTCAGCACACCAGGATTTTGCTCCCTCTCAGAAGGAGAGTGTCTTAAGCAGGGAGCAATCAGGTGCTTTAAGGAAAATGTCCTCTCTGAATTTATTACTGGTGAAAGGTGCTAGATTGACAAGGCTGGAGGGCAAAGTCCTCTGTCCCTACATTCACTGTCCACCAGCATTTCTCCTCTCCAACCTGGAAGGACAACTGCCCAAGGTGGGAGAGTTCAGTCTCCATGACCTCTCTGCTGAGATGGCCAACAGGTGGCCAGTTGTGCTGATGTGGACACTCACCCCCTAGGAACTTGACTGAGCCCCTCCACATTTATTTCCTGTAGGCCACAAGCAGCCACCAAGGGCTGATAACTTTCTGTCACAACTGACCTGAGGTGCATTAGGACAGCTGATCTAGGCTCCGTTGCCTATTACCAAACCCTGAGCCATTCAGTTCCCTTCTGGGCTTGATTTTTAAATACATGGTATCACAAGAACTGAAGAACTACATTGCACCCTGCCTGCCTCTCTGGGCAGTGACACACACCCTAAGGCCTTAAAGTTGCTGGTTTGAAGTGCTTTGGGGGTGTGCTTTTGTTTTCTTTTCTCATAGCTGCAAAGGCTGTGAAAGTGCGATATCCGAGGCAAGTGACTGGGAAGAAGCAAGCTCTGGAGGGAGGATTCTGTCCCTCCTGGGCCAGGACTTCTGGCTCCACCGCTCCTCCCAAGTTCACCATGCCCAGGGTCTTCGGACCTTTTCCCGAACTGATGAGCAAACAGGTTTGTATTTGGATCTTCCACTAATATGTTCCTAGAGACCCCAGTCCTGACATATCCTCAAGCCATGCAAGTCCTCCAGGCTGCCTGGGGTCCCTCTGCTACCCTCAGTGTAGCACAGTACACATGGCACCTGTCCCAGGCTGCAGCCCTCTCTAGTGTGGAGTTAACTCTGACTGTGGGCATTAATAGAGGAGCAGGAAGCAAGGCTTTCCCAATAGGAGGAAGTCCTCTCACAGTAGCAACTCCAGCCCCAGGCTCTCCCAGCAGAAATTCTGTAGGAAATGGGCAGGAGCACAGGCTGTGGGGGAGCTCACAGTTACTCCAAGTCTAGCCTCCCCAGTAGAGGCCCTGTAGAGAGTGGGATAGGAATGCTCATTGTGTGGAGGCTCCCAGCATCTCCATCCCAGCTTTAGCCTTTCCCAGCAGGAGCACTGACTGGTGGGTTAGCTAACTTGCTTGTGAAGAAACAATGCTTGTGCCGTTGTCTAACGAGTACTTTTATTTCCAATAGATGGACAGAGCAACAGCTTCGAACACTGACCTGAAACACCACTGGGCTGGGGTGTCGACAATGAACCAAAAGAGGTTTGAGGCACTGGGGAGGGTCAGTACTGGCTAGGAGAGGTTGAGAAAGCAAGGAAGAGAGGAAGCACGTCCCCACTTCCTTATAGGTGATGGGGTGAGGGGGAAAGTGAACCTGTGATGGAGTTGGAGGGAAGCAGGCACTTGTCAGGTGTGGGCTGAAAACTCACTTGATTCCCTTCAGCCCCTGTAATGCTGCTCCTCCTGCAGCCTGGTCAGTGTGACACAGGGATCTCTTCCCTCTTGTCTGTTCCTATAGGACTACTACATCTCCCCCCACAGGTTCCACTTGTCCCCAGAGAACCAGGGTGAACAACAGGGCACTGCTCAGTTTAGCTGCAGTGAGTGATAGCTCTCTTCCTGAATGTCTTGTCTTCCAACAGCATGATCGATCTGCATCCTATAGTGCTGAACCCTGGTGGCTTTTATGCCTCGCTCCAGGCTGGTAACCACATCAATAAGCTGAGGTACACCGGTTTCTCAAGGTAGGTCTCATTAGTTACCCACTATCTCAGGGCCAGATTCTGATCTCCTTGTTCTTTCTGAGTAGAACTGTACTGCACAAACAGTCCCATTGAAGAAATGGCAGAAGGCGCTGCTTCATGCGAGAAAGGGATGAGAATATGGCCCTTGGGGAGGGGCCTTTTGGCTCACTGTGGGATCTCCTTTTGGGGGGAGGAAAGGGGAATTTGATTACACATGAAAGGCTCTGATCCTGTTCTCACTGAAGTCAATGATGGCGAAGCTTCCTCTTCAGCAGTGCTGGATCAGGTTCAGCAGAAAGAAGGAATCCCATCGTCTCAGCCTTATACTGGTCAAGAACCTCCATAGGGAGGAAAAGGTTAAAGTCCATTGCATAAGAGTGCTAACAAATGAAGCAATGCAGTTTCGAGGATTGACTCTGCAATGATCAGATCCTTGGTTGGGAGCGGGAGAAGAGGAAGTGTAGTGGTAGTGAAGAGGTTGTAGAGCATTTGTATACCATCATACACTGTGCAGGTAGGTTCTGACCACTGGGAATTCATTCCATACCATGCTGTTCCTGTATATTTATATGTACCTCATGTAAACCATTAGAGGAATGTGGCTTAGCCTAATTTATCAGTAATGCCTGAGGGGAGCTGTGACTCCTTTCACCAGTGCTCAGCTGCTGGTACTGAACAAGTAAGGATAGGTGAAAGAGGTTAGCTACCCATCACATTACTTCTCCCTGGCTATCCTCACTGGAAATGTTTTCTTGTTCTAGGCCTCCTGGGAACAGTCCCAAGCCTTCTCCCCAAAAGGCAGGCCCTTCTGACATGAAGTCCACACCTTCTGTTTTTGACACTCCCATGCTGTCCAAGTTTCAAGGTGGCTCAGAAGATGACATGGATAATGAGAAACCTGGCCCCAGTTCCCCTCCAAAGGGAGCATAATTGTCTCTTCCTGTATGGAAAATTGCTACGTGAATAAAAGTTCCATGCAAGCTCCTTGACTGTGGGTGAGAACTCCGCTGTGTAGGAGCCTTGATGATAGTACAAAGAGAATAGCTGATTGATTGCTTGGGAAACTTTGGCAGGTGGGGCAATTCTAATAGGCCAGAGCTGGCATGATACTTGTGAGCATCAGCAAACAGACCTATGATTCACTGCAAAGGTGTCCCCATTTATGTAGAGCTGGTGGTCTGTGGTAGGGGGACATTAAGCTACCTCACTTCAGATGGTGGCATGTGTAGCAGGGTCTCCCCTAGCTTATTAGTTACTGCTGTCCTCGTCTGGATTTGAACAAGTGCATAAGCAGGGAAAACCTCTATGTCCCATAAGCAGCCCTCCCTACTTTGCTACTTGGAGAGGTAGTGTCCTTTCAGCAAGTGACCACAGCAGTCCTGGCCCTGTGCATTTATTATTATTCTCTTTGGATGGTTACTGTAGGAAACTGCCCTTGAAGATGGCACTGGAGCATTTTAATCTGCATCCTAATGGAATCTTAAGAACTCATCACAACACTGAAACCCCCTTATAGCAAGCAGGTCAGCTCAAAGACCCAATGTTTGCCCAGCGCACACTTCTGCCTCTCAATCTGTATACAGCAAAATACATCTTAAGGGACCAACAGAAATTGGTAGCTTAACAGAGGTGGATTTTCTCTTAGTGGTGGGGCAAAATGGGGGATGGGGATACTTTAGGGTGGCCTGTTGAGACAGACAGTTCCCTCATCAGGGTGGTCTCTTGTGCAGGTATCGTCGTATTACTCTTTTGCTTCATCTAGTGCTAATAATTTCAGCTTGAATTTCTGAAACGGAAAAATGAATCTGACCCAGGCATGAACTTGACTGATTCATAGGAGAGGAAAAAATTCCAAAGTGGCACCATAAATCTTGTAAGCAATTTTTAAATTTAATTACACACGGAAAACCCTACTCCCAGCTGCGCATTCCAGAGAAGGTCATAGCTTAGTTAGGAGCAGCTCTGGTCAGGCTGACTCAGTGAAACTCCAGCAATATCCCAGTCATTGTTGTTTTTTTTTAAGGTTCAAATAGGAGCCAAGGGTAGCTGCCAAACTGTACAGCACCTCCCTCTGGCCCCGTAATGCTCAGCCTTCTCCCTGCTCGAAGAGGAGGACTTGTTCAGCTGATAACCCACCCCGCAAAGAAGTCTCTCTCTGGAAAGCAGCTGCATTTAGCAGGTGCCCTTGTTCAACTTCTCTGCTGAAAACATTTTTCCCAGTACAGGTTCCTCCCAGCTCTGGGAGAGCAGAGTTCCGGCTTCACGGGGCCTGTCTTATGCCGTCCCCTCTCACCTTCTTCTGACATTAGATCCCCCAGCTGCTAAAACCCTCTTCAGCTCCGTGCTCCCCCCCATTCCAATTTGTCTAATCCCTCCTCCAAGCTCCCCTTCCCCAACTCTCCTCCTGGTGCCAATTGTAAGAAAAGTGTCTTGGTTTGGAGATACAAAAGTCTGATGACCGTGTCCTAGCACCTTGCAGTGAAGGCAAAGCAGGGGCACAGTAGACTCTAGGGACAGGTAGGGCCGAGAGAATCTCATACCAGGTGCTTTCCACCCATCCTGCTTCCAGGTAAATGGAGACCATGGCTCAGTGCAGAAAGCTGATCTGATTGGAACGGATGATGGATTGCTGTCCTCTGCTGGTCTCATCAAAAGATGCACCTTTAGATCTCACCTCCGTTTGCCTGCTGGGTTAAAATAGCCCCTCTTAAGAGATTATGATGGGTCAATAAGCACTTGACGATATGAGGAAAAGAAACTGCTTTATGTTGTTTATTATTTGTATTTCCATCGCACCCAGTTGGAACTTGATACTTTAAAAATCAGTGCCCAATTAGCTGTGCGCAATCCTACGCGGCAGAGTTTTTGTATTACCACATCCTGTAAACTTTGCACTAAAAATCACAGTGCACAATGGGACTTGGTAAGTCACTTTTTTTTTAATGTCCTGACACAAAGTTTCAACAATGTGCTGATCAGCCACTCTATGACCCTGCAGCCACTCCCTGGGGGCTTTCTGCTAACTGCCTTGTTAAAGTAACTATCTGATTGGAACCCAAAGAAACCAGAAAACTGATGAGACGAGTCAAGTCTGAAAATTCCTCTCACCCCATTCTCTGGAAGGATTAGCATCCTGGGAGCCATTCTCAAACCCAAAGAAGTCAATGGGAATTAAGGGTGCTCAGCTCCTTTATTTAAGTTAATTAATTTGTAGGCAGTCAGCCTTCCCCATCAGGACTGCATCAGTCAGAGCTGAAACTATATGATCAAGTGTTGGCACCTGTTATTGGGATGGCTTTTTTGCTTGGCTGATCTTTGTCCCTATCCTGCCAGAAGTGCTCAGCATTTGATGGGTGTCCAAGGACCTGCTGCTGCTCAGTGGGTGTGACTGACAATCCCACGTCAGCTTGTCACAGGTAAGGCTGGGGAGTTTACTCACCATGAACAGGGTACTTACCTTGGGTGGGTGCAGGTGCTTGGCTCACTAACACTAGAAACTGGGTCACCGCAGGACAATCAAAGGCAGCAACTCCCCACACCGGGAATTCAGTTTCATGGATGCAAAGTGATCTGACCTTGTGGGTCCAATATTAATGATCACAATTGGCAGCTTCTTCTCATGGGCAGCAAGTGCAAACCTGTAACCAGAGTACACCTGCAGGGACACAAAGAAACAAAGTGATGTGGAGCCTGGACAAAGGAAGAGCTATAGAAAGAATCAGTCCACATAGGCCATTGCCCAATGGTGGGACATGATTGTTCCCTCTGGTGTATTTGCAGATACACACTACACAGAAAAATGCTATATAAGCTACTCTTCATTCAAGTACTAGATTCTTTCTTCAAATCTGCACAGGATGGGAGCAGCTGCTACTTAACTCCTAACAGAGGAAAGATTTTCAATACTGTGGAAAATATTCCCCCTTCAATGGTTTTTGTGACTTTCCTTGCCACCCCTAGCTAGTTATCATAGAGTCTTGCTTATATGCTTCCACCTTTGTGGCCTATCTCCTCTGCCCATTTGGGGATAAACATGAGACCTTGATTGCTTCCAGGGACAGGATTATGACTTCACTTCAAGCTCAAGCAGCAGTTGGGCCCCAAATATCCTGAAGAGGTGAGGACTGGAACTCAACAGCCTCAGCCTTACCCACTCATGTCAGCCCTTGAGATGTGTGTGAGCATTTTACAGTGCAGCTTTATTCTGTAAAGTAGCTTTCATGCAAACTGTGTCCCAGACACTTTCCCAGGTTAAGTGGTGGGCTCAGAGTCAGGATAAATAACAACACAGGCAAGAAATAGCTCAGGGAGAAAAAAAGATGGCAAAGCAAAGAAGGGAAGCTGTCCAGCAGGGCTGTTCCAGAATGCAGGTGAAGGCTCTCTGCTCCCTCATCTTCTTCAACTTCTTTCAGCAGTCTAATGAGGAATTAATTCACTTGCAACTCTGTTCTCTCCAGGCAGAGAACGCTCTATCTCAGTCTGCTTCTTGCAGGTCTCCAGCCTGGATAATGTATAAACCTCCCCACACTAGAGACAAAGTTATTTCAGGTTGCCATTCCCATAACACTAGGGCGTGAGAGGAATATGTTAGAAAATTCAAAGGAAAACCTGAAGTGGGGGTGAAGAGGGATTTTGCAGCACTGATCTTTCACACCAGGCTTAATAGGGTGCTAAAGACAGAAGAGTTGGGCAAGAAAAAGTGGGATCGTGATCTTTGCAGGGCTAATCTGCATCTAAAGTCAGGTAGATAACAGGGCTACCTGGGCAACCGTGGAGATTAAGAAAGTATATCTGGGATAGCATAGGCAGATCAGACAGTATCTGGGAAATGGCTAAGTCCGACTGGCACTGAAGTGAAAAGCACATAATAGGTACCTCACAGGGATGGCTGTGAAGCCAGATTATAAAGACAGTAGAACAAAATACTAGGAAATTCTGGAGACTGGATTCAGATAAGAGGGATGGTGGTCCCAGATTATGGGATCAGGGACCACTGCAGAGACAGTAGCCCAGAAAAATAGGAATACAGACAGGAGAGATGAGCAGTTACCTGCAAAGAGGATCCTGCCACTAACATGGAATCTGATTCAGCCAGGCGCTTGTGCACAAAGTCCACTTTCTCCCGGCTAACTGTGTCCCCAAAGAACGTCACATCTGGCTTCAGGATCCCACCACATCTGCTGCAGGCCGGGACACGGAAGTTATGCACCTGCTCTTCTGTGAGGAAGACATCCCCATCCGGGGCCATGCCATGTGCTTCAGCTGTCCAGGTGGGATTCAGCACTTCAAAGCACTTCTGAAGCTCAGAGCGGGGAGTTTGCTCTCCACAGCCGAGGCAGAGAACCCTGAAACACAGTTCATGGTCTTTCAAAGGGCCCCATCTCCACTGGGCTGCAGCAATTCACTGATCCAAAGATTTTAAGGCCAGAGGGACCATTTGTGATAATCTAATCTGACCCCCTGCATAGTACAGGCCAGAGAATGTTCCTGCGTGAAGTCTGGAAGGCCCAATATGGACCTCACAACTCTGTGTTTAACTATGACCCTGAAGGAAACTGCCCCATGGGAGCCGGTGGGTTCTAAAGAATATGTGATCTAAATCAGTGGTTTTCAACCTGTGGTCTGTGGACTCCTGGGGTCCACACACTATGTCTAAGAAGTGCAAAGGGGTCTGCATCTCCATTCAAAATTTGTAGGGGTCCACAAATGAAAAAAGGTTGAAAACCACTGCTCTAGAAAGTCAGAATTACTCAAGAAGAGATCTAAGGGTATGTCTTCACTAGCAACGTTAACGTGGCTGTATAGCCGCGGCACCAGTGCTATAAAAAAACCACCCCCACGAGGGGAGTAGCTACCTGCACTGGTGCACTGTCTACACTAGTGCTTTACAGCGCTGAAACTTGCATCACTCGGGCGGTGGGGATTTCACACCCCTGAGCAAGAAAGTGTCAGTGCTGTAAAGTGGCAGTGGAGGCCAGGCCTAAGTCCTCTACCTACTTCCCACCTCCATCCTCACCAGCGGGGTGGGGGGATTCATGGTTTTAGCATTGCTCTGAAATATCACCACAGGTTCAACTTCCAACAGTGTCAACTCAGCCCAGCATCCTTCCAAGGCAGAGAAACTAGCTGCCAGGCTGTTTACTGTGTGTGCAGATCTTTCCCACAGGGCCTTCAAACATTGTGGTCCCATCTGTGCTGTGTAGACATTAAAGTACCTTGGGATCTTTTGGTAAGTGGCCTTGGCTAAAATCCCCCCTCCATTTCTGTGGTGCAGAGTGCTGCTCTCCCTCCCAAGAAGTGGCTGCACGGCAGTGGTGCTGTTTACGTATAGTATGCAATGTCTGTGGTATGTACTATCCTTGCTGCACTTCTTGTCTCCAGACAGGTCCACCTTCTGTGCTCCCAGCACAACCCACTGATTTCAGCCCCATTTACCTTTCCCTGCACACGCATGGTCTCTGTTCCCCTTCTTGCCCTCGCTGAGAGGACTCTAGATATGACAGAAAAGGAGAACATCCTAATGATAACAGATTAAAGGGGAAACGAGTCAAACAGTACTGCACGAAAGGTGTGTGAAACGTGGGAGCACCCGGGCAAAAGATGTTCTGCCCCTTAAACAGCATCTGTGGATTAGCCACCCTCCCGCCATAGCATAGCAATTCTGTGCTCACCTCTCCCGCAGTCAAGCAGCACCTTTATGTTGTCCCACCTGTGTAGTAACATGACATTCTTACATAATTCCTTGTGCCCCCCCATAACACCACACCCCTTTGTAAGCTACTCTCCCACCCATAAGATGGTACCTGTGCATTAACCATCTTTTCCCTAACCCTGTAGCGTACCTGTGTGTGCAGCCATGCAATTCCATCACCCGCTGACTCCCGGCCTTGGTATGCAGGGCATCCACATTCTGGGTCACCAGCCAGTGCAGCTTTCCTAGCTTCTCCCAGTTTCTTAAGGCCAGGTGCGCTGCGTTAGGCTGGTGAGAGGAGAACTGGGGCCAGCCCACAAAGTTCCTTGCCCAGTACCTCTGGCGGGCACTGGCACTGCGAAGAAACTCAGTATGCTGGATGGGCCGCCTGTCCGTCCTGGCATAAAGCCCCACCCCTTCTGAGCGGTAGTCAGGGATCCCTGATTCAGTGGAGATTCCAGCGCCGGTCATTACCAACAGCCTCTGGGAATGAGAAAAGAAGCGCTGCAATGCCTCCACTTCCAGGGCATCTGGAGGAGGGCTGGCTGGCACAAAAGTCAGGTTTGGAGAGGCCTTGGCCCCGGAGTGAGATCTGTAATGGTGGAGCCTGAGGGCTCTGCAACCTTCCGGCACCTTCAAAGCACAGTATATACTCATCTAGGACCCAAGAAGATGAATATATGGCAGTTAAACCTTGGAACACAGAGGTCTTCCTTAACGACAAGGTTATTTTTTCTTAGGCTACTGTGAGGAATTCATGATGCTGATAATGATACTTTGTTCTTCTCTTCTGCCTTCTAGTCAACAATCCCAAATCACTTTGGACACGTTAATTCATTAAACAGCACCTGCGAGGAAGGCATTATTAGCCTCCTTTTCCAGCTAGAGAAACTGAGGCATAGAGAGGTGAAGTAACTTTTCCACGGTCATGCAGTGAGTCAGTGGTAGAGCAGGCACTCGAGACCAGAACTCCTGACTCCCAGCCCTGTGCCCTATTCATAGGTCTCACCCTTCCTCCTTGGTTGACAGGCAGCTCCCCCCTGCAAGTGGGCAAACTTGGAAGAGATGGGGCCAGTTCTTCACATTTTATGACTTTTTTAAAGGGACACCAAGGCAGGGGAAAGCCAGAATCTACCTAAGACTTGGCTTTATACGGGGTTGCAGGTGGACAGCATCCCTTTCAGGCACATGTGATGGGCACAAAGAGTGGCAGCGGAGAGATAGGGTAAGAGAACCCCAAGTATGCCAAGCTCATCTCCACCGGCCTTGCCTGGTTTGGGAGCCCAGCTTCTCCTCAGGTGGGAGTTTGCTCTGCTGCTCTTGGCACAGAGTTGTCTCCAAACCGGGGTGGAGAGCAGCGCACACAGAAGCAGCATCACACGGAGCAAAGCCCTCACCACAGCAGCAACCCCATTCTTCAGAACCCCTCCCCACAGATGACGCCCCTCCTCACCACTGCCTCTGATGAGGGAAGGCAGAGATGACTCGCCCTGTTGTCTCCCTCCTCTTCAGGGTAGAGGCCCTGTTGATAAGAGGAGAGTATAGAGCCTCTGGCTGTTACAGAGCCTGGGCAAAACAGGCCTTGCATTAGTGGGTGAGTTTGCAACCTAGGCTGCCTCCCAAGCCAGTTGCCATGTTGGGCACCATCCCCCTCAATATGAGCAAGAGAGGGAGGCAGGAATGGGGCCTATCTCTGCTGCTTCTCTAGCAGCAGGAAGGCCTGGGTTCGGTGTGTCTCTGAGTTGCTGCTCCCTTACAGGGGTCTGGAGGGGGCTAGGAACAGAGGGGCCCAGTGTAGGAGGAGCAGCTGGGAGATGGAGGCCAACAAAGGAGCAGCAGAGTGGCCCTCAAACAGTAGGGGACAGCATGAAATGACTGAGGGAGGGGAGAATGGATTTTGGAGAGCTAGCAATGTAAATTGGCTGGGGGAGGGGAATTGATCTGGGGACAGGAGAGGCATTGATTGCTTTGGCAATAGGGTTGGGAAAGAGTCAAAGAGCGCAGAGGAGCAAAGGCACAAGGAGAGACATTTGTCCACCCTATTTTCAGGAGATTTTTGTCCACTCTGTGTACAAAGAGCATTTACAAAATTTCCCTGTGTACAAAGAGCATTTAAAAAAACAAAATAAAACAATGGAGGGGATGAACTGCCTGGAGATTTCTGGAGACAAGAGGAGCGAAAACAGGGAGAGAATTTGTAATTCACACTAAACACCAAATATATCAGTTTGGGCCAGCATGGGAGCCTAAAATGAAGAGCCTGATTTGCAAAGGTAGGTGCTGAGTGCCAGGTACAGTCAATGGATGTTGCAGCTGTCCAGCATCACTAAAAATTTGACCACTTCCTTAGGTACCTAAGTCTGGATTTAGGTACCTAATTTTAGGCACCCACATCTGAAGCGTTTGGCCTGGATTTTTCAAGATATTAGGCCTTGCCCCGCTCAGCATTGCAAGGCCTAAGGCCCAGACCCTCAAAGGTTTTGGGCGCCTAACACCCACTGAGTTCACATCTACCCAACTGGGCCCCGCAAGCGAGATAGGTGAGGAAATAACTCATTTGTGAACCCTAAAGGGGCCTAGGTGTGAATTAGGTGCCAAGCGGCTGGTCAGGGTCAGGGCTGAGGCAGCTGAGCCCAGGCCCAGCCACCAAAATTTAGGTGCATCAGACACTTTAACTGCAGAAACTTAGGCACCTAGAGACATGAGGCGCCCACCGGCTTTTAGGCAGCAGCTGAGCAGGGATTTTGTGAGTGCTCGTGGCACCTACATATTGGATGCCTGAATTGGCAATTAGGCACCTACTGTCTCTGCTATAGCCACTACTGTGGCAGAGCTGTGGCCCTGCTGCTGTGACGATGTAGCGTAGCCGTGACTTACATTGACGGCAGGGGTTTTACCGATGATGTCGGTAATCCACCTCTCTGAGAGGAAGTAGCTCGGTCTGCCTAGCCGTGTCCGCACTGGGTATTAGGTCAACCTAACTACAGTGCTCAGGGCGCAAAGATTTTCACAGCCTTGAGCAACACAGCTAGGTCAGCCTAAGTTTTAGGTGTAGAGCAGGCCTCAGTCTGACTTGTAAATCCCTCCCCTAAATGTGTTTACAAGTCTGGGACCGACAGCTGAAATTTTTAAAGGGACTTAGGCAGCTAAACAAACAGATAGGCACATGGGCCCATAGCCCCAAAGGTATTTAGGGATTTCAATGGGAGTTAGATGCTTGAATACTTCAGAGGACATTTTCAAAGATTCAGCCCAGGTGCCACCTAACCCATCTAGGTGGATAAGTTCCCACCAGCTGACATTTTCAAAGCAGCCTAAGGGCTGCTACTACTTTGCAGCTAAAGAGCTGCTCTGAGCCCTAGCACAAGCTGAAGCCCCAGAGGCTCTGCCACAGAACTGGGATTTTTAAATTAATTGGAGGAATGTCTATCTTGCCAACAGGGCCTGATCCTGTAGGTGTGCTCTGAGCATGCCTAAGTCCTGCCAGACCCTGCAACAGGTGGGCCGGATGGTGGCCACCATTAGGTGGAGGGGTGGCCAGTACAGCACCTGCACAAAAGAGAGCAGGAGACCCAGGGCAATGTAGGGTGAGGCGAGGTAAGAGAGGGATGGAGTATGAATGGGGGTGGAAAGCAGGGGGTTAGTTGCTAGGGCACAGGCTCCCTAAGCAAATGACCTGGTTTAGATGCCTAACTCCAGGAGAAGGTTCGTGGCTGAGGATCCCAAGTGGACGGAGGCGCCTATCTCTGGCCCATCAGCCGATCGGACCAAGTCAGGCTCTTAGATGCTTAAGCCCCACTCTTCTGCCCTCCCCTCCCCCTGGCATTTTACTCCTGGATAGCTTAGGTGGTTCCTGCTCAGTTCTGAAAATTTTACTTCCTGGCCAGCTTCTGAAAATCCCTTTGGCAGGTGCTTAACTATCTCCATGCTCTAGTCTAGGGAGCGTAGGCAGCATAAAGCTGCCAACTCAGGGCTGAAGATTCCACTAGACAGTGGGCCACCTAGGGGGTTAGTCATAGAATCATAGAATATCAGGGTTGGAAGGGACCTCAGGAGGTCATCTAGTCCAACCCACTGCTCAAAGCAGGACCAATCCCCAATTAAATCATCCCAGCCAGGCCTTTGTCAAGCCTGACCTTAAAAACTTCTAAGGAAGGAGATTCTACCACCTCCCTAGGTAACGCATTCCAGTGTTTCACCACCCTCCTAGTGAAAAAGTTTTTCCTAATATCCAACCTAAACCTCCCCCACTGCAACTTGAGACCATTACTCCTTGTCCTGTCCTCTTCTACCACTGAGAATAGTCTAGAACCATCCTCTCTGGAACCACCTCTCAGGTAGTTGAAAGCAGTTATCAAATCCCCCCTCATTCTTCTCTTCTGCAGACTAAACAATCCCAGTTCCCTCAGCCTCTCCTCATAAGTCATGTGTTCCAGACCCCTAATCATTTTTGTTGCCCTTCGCTGGACTCTCTCCAATTTATCCACATCCTTCTTGTAGTGTGGGGCCCAAAACTGGACACAGTACTCCAGATGAGGCCTCACCAATGTCGAATTGAGGGGGACAATCACGTCCCTCGATCTGCTTGCTAGGCCCCTACTTATACATCCCAAAATGCCATTGGCCTTCTTGGCAACAAGGGCACACTGCTGACTCATATCCAGCTTCTCGTCCACTGTCACCCCTAGGTCCTTTTCCACAGAACTGCTGCCTAGCCATTCGGTCCCTAGTCTGTAGCTGTGCATTGGGTTCTTCCGTCCTAAGTGCAGGACCCTGCACTTATCCTTATTGAACCTCATCAGATTTCTTTTGGCCCAATCCTCCAATTTGTCTAGGTCCCTCTGTATCCTATCCCTGCCCTCCAGCATATCTACCACTCCTCCCAGTTTAGTATCATCCGCAAATTTGCTGAGAGTGCAATCCACACCATCCTCCAGATCATTTATGAAGATATTGAACAAAACCGGCCCCAGGACTGACCCCTGGGGCACTCCACTTGACACCGGCTGCCAACTAGACATGGAGCCATTGATCACTACCCGTTGAGCCCGACAATCTAGCCAACTTTCTACCCACCTTATAGTGCATTCATCCAGCCCATACTTCTTTAACTTGCTGACAAGAAACTGTGGGAGACAGTGTCAAAAGCTTTGCTAACGTCAAGAAACAATACATCCACTGCTTTCCCTTCATCCACAGAACCAGTAATCTCATCATAGAAGGCGATTAGATTAGTCAGGCATGACCTTCCCTTGGTGAATCCATGCTGACTGTTCCTGATCACTTTCCTCTCATGTAAGTGCTTCAGGATTGATTCTTTGAGGACCTGCTCCATGATTTTTCTGGGGACTGAGGTGAGGCTGACTGGCCTGTAGTTCCCAGGATCCTCCTTCTTCCCTTTTTTAAAGATTAGCACTACATTAGCCTTTTTCCAGTCATCCGGGAATTCCCCCGTTCACCAGGAGTTTTCAAAGATAATGGCCAATGGCTCTGCAATCACAGCCACCAATTCCTTTAGCACTCTCGGATGCAACTCGTCCGGCCCCATGGACTTGTGCACGTCCAGCTTTTCTAAATAGTCCCTAACCACCTCTTTCTCCACAGAGGGCTGGCCATCTATTCCCCATGTTGTGATGCCCAGCGCAGCAGTCTGGGAGCTGATCTTGTTCGTGAAGACAGAGGCAAAAAAAGCATTGAGTACATTAGCTTTTTCCACATCCTCTGTCACTAGGTTGCCTCCCTCATTCATTAAGGGGCCCACACATTCCTTGGCTTTCTTCTTGTTGCCAACATACCTGAAGAAACCCTTCTTGTTACTCTTGACATCTCTCGCTAGCTGCAGCTCCAGGTGCGATTATGGCCCTCCTGATTTCATTCCTACATGCCCGAGCAATATTTTTATACTCTTCCCTGGTCATATGTCCAACCTTCCACTTCTTGTAAGCTTCTTTTTTATGTTTAAGATCCGCTAGGATTTCACCGTTAAGCCAAGCTGGTCTCCTGCCATATTTACTATTCTTTCGACACATCGGGATGGTTTGTCCCTGTAACCTCAACAGGGATTCCTTGAAATACAGCCAGCTCTCCTGGACTCCTTTCCCCTTCATGTTAGTCCCCCAGGGGATCCTACCCATCCGTTCCCTGAGGGAGTCGAAGTCTGCTTTCCTGAAGTCCAGGGTCCGTATCCTGCTGCTTACCTTTCTTCCCTGTGTCAGGATCCTGAACTCAACCAACTCATGGTCACTGCCTCCCAGATTCCCATCCACTTTTGCTTCCCCCACTAATTCTTCCCGGTTTGTGAGCAGCAGGTCAAGAAAAGCTCCCCCCCAGTTGGCTCCTCTAGCACTTGCACCAGGAAATTGTCCCCTACGCTTTCCAAAAACTTCCTGGATTGTCTATGCACCGCTGTATTGTTCTCCCAGCAGATATCAGGAAAATTAAAGTCACCCATGAGAACCAGGGCGTGCGATCTAGTAGCTTCTGCGAGCTGCCAGAAGAAAGCCTCATCCACCGCATCCCCCTGGTCCGGTGGTCTATAGCAGACTCCCACCACTACATCACCCTTGTTGCTCACACTTCTAAACTTAATCCAGAGACACTCAGGTTTTTCTGCAGTTTCATACTTGAGCTCTGAGCAGTCATACTGCTCCCTTACATACAGTGCTACTCCCCCACCTTTTCTGCCCTGCCTGTCCTTCCTGAACAGTTTATAACCATCCATGACAGTACTCCAGTCATGTGAGTTATCCCACCAAGTCTCTGTTATTCCAATCACGTCATAATTCCTTGACATCACCAGGACCTCCAGTTCTCCCTGCTTGTTTCCAAGGCTTTGTGCATTCGTATATAAGCACTTGAGATAACCTGCTGATCGCCCCTCATTCTCAGTATGAGGCAGGAGCCCTCCCCTCACAGACATTCCTGCCTGTGCTTCCTCCCGGTATCCCGCTTTCCCATTTACCTCAGGGCTTTGGTCTCCTTCCCCTGGTGAACCTAGTTTAAAGCCCTCCTCACTAGGTTAGCCAGCCTGCTCACAAAGATGCTCTTCCCTCTCTTTGTAAGGTGGAGCCCGTCTCTGCCCAGCACTCCTCCTTCATGGAACACCATCCCATGGTCAAAGAATCCAAAGCCTTCTCTCCGACACCACCTGCGTAGCCATTCGTTGACTTCCACAATTCGACGGTCCCTACCCAGGCCTTTTCCTTCCACGGGGAGGATGGACGAGAACACCACTTGCGCCTCAAACTCCTTTATCCTTCTTCCCAGAGCCATGTAGTCCGCAGTGATCTGCTCAAGGTCATTCTTGGCAGTATCGTTGGTGCCCAAGTGGAGAAGCAGGAAGGGGTAGTGATCCGAGGGCTTGATGAGTCTCGGCAGTCTCTCCATCACACCGCGAATCTTAGCCCCCGGCAAGCAGCAGACTTCTTGGTTTTCCCGGACAGGGCGGCAGATAGATGACTCAGTCCCCCGGAGGAGAGAGTCCCCGACCACCACCACCCGCCTCCTTCTCTTGGGAGTGGTGGTCGTGGAACCCCCCATCTCAGGACAGTGCATCTCATGCCTTCCAACCAGTGGAGTCTCCTTCTAGTCATTGGTCTGCTCAGCTGAGCCATACGAACATCCCTTTAGAAATCTGGTCCTAACTAGAGAAGCCACTTTTGAAAATGGACTTAGCTATCTAAGGGCCTGTCTACACTTAAAATGCTGCTTTAATGATGACGCTCTAAACTGATGGGAGAGAGCTCTTCCTTCAGCATAGTTAATCCACCTCCCCCTAGAAGCAGAAGAAGGTCTCCTGCCAACAGAATACTGTCTACACTAGGGGTTAGGTTGGTATAAGTGGATTTTCACACTCCTGAATGAAGTAGTTATACTAATATAGATCTGTAGTGAAGACCTGATCTAGGTCAATTATGCCCAGATCCTCAAAGATTTTAGGTGCCTAAAATCAATAGAGCTGAAGAGAAGCCAGCGCCATGATCTTTGATAAGGGACTGACATGATGAGAGCAGTGGGAGAGAACACTTGTTTATGCAGCAGCATTTGGGTCAGACTGGAGGGGAGCAAGATGAGAGGCAGAGTCTGCAGTGGTATAGGTGGGAGGCAACAGTAAGTGGCAAAGACCAAGAGGAAGGGATGTATTGGAGAAATGTGGTGAAAGATGAAAGAGAAAGATTTTGTGGCAAGCATTACTGAGGGGTGAGGGGAGGCTAAATGTAAAGAAATAAATATTTAATGAAGAAAAGAAATACACTTGAAAAACAGGACTTTTTATGTTTAAAATATGATTCTTAACCTTAATGCTTTCTAGTCCACAAAATAATTAAAAATAATTTTCCATTTCACTCTCCTGCCAAGTCCCACATCTACAGTTCTTTGTTTCCCCTGTTACAGTTGCAAAAAATATACTAACATTTCACACACAGTCTAAAAACCACTACGGAGACAGATCAGATCAGCATTACAGCAGGAAAGGGGCAGCATCTGAAGATAACCCCTGACTCTAAAGATCTCCACAGCACCCAGCTTAGCCATACCTCCATTTCTGTAAAACATGCATATTAACAAGAGAAAAATAAAACAGAAAAAATAAAGCCCTTGTTGCTAAACCAGCAAGAAAAATTCTATAAGCATTTGCAAGTTCACCTCTCATGTTATGGCAGTGCCTGACCTTCAGAGAAGACAAAAGGCTGCAGAAACAGAGAACTCTGGGAAATGAAGTTCACAAAACAAAACTAAAAAGGAAAACTACAAATCCCACAATTCAAAGAATACATATGTTGAAAAACTGAGCAAAGAAAAAAGAGCAAAATTTCAGAACACCAGGGAAACCAATCATACAATCCTTTCTCTGAAAGTCTCGGGGGAGAAAGTCACATGAGTACTAGAGACAGATTCTAGCAATACTTAGCGTATTACAGTTAATTTAGCAGATTTACACTGGCATATTTTAATTCACGAATTTGGCATCTTATAATATAGACAGCAGAGATAACTTGAGAAAAGTTGCAGCATGTGTGAAACTTTCCTGGGACAGAAAGGTGACAGAAAGCTGGTGTTGCAAGTTGGGTGATGGACTAATTAGCTTAATGATGCCTTGAAACCAGTCTGGTTCACCCCATGCTGGAAAGCAGGTGGCCGGCAAGTGAGCAAGGGTCACAGGTTCACTTCTTACCTTCTCAGAGCTAAGATCACGTGTAACTTTGACCTGTTAACCTTTTACCCCTTAATGGGAATATTGCAATTATGTATTCCTTATGCTGTCTGATTTTAAACCAAACTTTACACCACTTTATAATCTGTACATTATTCCCTGATAACCAGAAACTTCTATGCTTAAATTCTGTTTGCTTTTTTTAAAAAAAATATCATTGTAATAAATTTTTAAAGTCTTTTGGCCTATTAAAAGCTATGATCAAATGTCTTGATGTGTTTGGTCTTTTAGCCCCAAGATGAAAACCTTGTTTGTGTCTTTTGGGCCATGAAGCACAAACATTATCTCCTAGCTTCTGAGGTTCAACTGAAGCATGATTATTACTAATTGAAAACTTTTCCAAATATCCTGCCTTGAGAGGTGGAAATACAGCTGTCATTAGCAATTTTTAGTAGCTTCTTTGGAGGCTGACTTCTTGCCTGACTGAAAAAACAGATAAGGTGAAGGTTCTTAGGTAGGTTCCTTTTTAGTTGTGTCTCCTTTTCTCTGGGCTTTCTGAATTTCTCACTGGGGTTCTCTGTGATGTTTTTGGTTTAGTGGGGTTAGAATAAACACTGAACTTCCTCTCAAAGCTGTAGTGAGTCAGTCTGTGTTCCTGAGGAGCTCTGCTGCCTTCTTTTTCTGGTGCTTTGTGTGCTCTGGGGGTGATTATTCTCCAGAGCCAGGAAGTGCAGATTTCATGAATTCCTAAAGTGAATCCAGTGCTCACTCACTTCAAAGAGCATGACTGACCCCTGAAGATGTATGGGCAGCCATATAATATTCCCTTCTTTCTAACAAGAGGGGGACTGAGGAATGGGAGGTGAATCAGCGAACATGGCCAAAGCAGAGGCTTCAGTGTGACGTTGCACTCTATATGATTTTATGTAAATATGCTAATGAGTGCGAATATAATGTAACTGGAATATGCTTCATGCAAAAGGTCTCTTGTAAGGTATCATTACAGAGCTTATAATCTACTGAGTGTGGTCATCCAATTTGTATAAATGTATCATTCTTGTATCTGAAACTAGAAATATGAAATATAACTCTGAGGGCCTATTGTAATTATGCAAAGAGTGGACCATTAATTGTGGCTTGGAATCTTAATGGCTCCCATTAACCAGGACAATTGGTTGTAAATGGCTCTGTTTACTTATAAGTCCTCCTGTATACCTGCGTGCTGGCAAGTGGGTGATCATATCACCGGAACTGGAATCCATCTTTAACCTGGTGCTTTTCCATTTAGAAAGAGGGGTGGAAACCCAGAGAGGGACAAAGGATTCCCACCTTGTGCAAAAGATATATAAGGGGGTGGAACAGAATAAAGGGGGATGCAGTCATGAGAAATCCCTTAGCTACCACCTGAGCTGGAACAAGGACTGTGCCAGGGGAAAGGATTGGGCCCAGACTAGAAAGGAGTCTAGTCTGTGAAAGAAGCTTATTGGAACATCTCTGAGGGTGAGGTTTCATCTGTAATCTGTTTTTTACTGTATTAGTCTTAGACTTGGTTGTTTTTGTTTTATTTTGCTTGGTAATTTACTTTGTTCTGTCTGTTATTACTTGGAACCACTTAAATCCTACTTTTTATATTTAATAAAATCACTTTTTGCTTATTAATTAACCCAGAGCAAGTAATTAATACCTGGGGGAGCAAACAGCTGTGCACATCTCTCTAGCAGTGTTATTGGGGGCAAACAATTTATGAGTTTACCCTGTATAAACTTTATACAGAGTAAAATGGATTTATTTGGGGTTTGGATCCCATTGGGAACTGAGTATCTGGGTGCTGGAGACAGGAGCACTTCTTAAGCTGTTTTCAGTTAAGCCTGCAGCTTTTGCAGGACGTGGTTCAGACCTGGATCTGTGTTTGCAGCAGGCTAACATGTCTGGCTCAAGAAGACAGGGTACTGAAGTCCCAAGCTGGCAGGGAAAACTGTCTTAGAGGTAGTCTCAGCACATCAGGTGGCAGACCAAGGGGGTCTCTGTGACCCAACCCGTCACACCTGGCTACCTGAGTTGTGAAAGCCAAAAGTAAAACTGGGTTCAAAAAATCATTAGCTAAGTTCCTGGAGTAGAGGTCCATCATTGGCTATTACCATGCTGCAGTGTCCCTAACCCTCTGACTGCCAGAAGCTGGGACTGGATGACAGGGGATGGATCATTCAATAAATTGTCCTGTTCTGTTCATTCCCTCTGAAGCATCCAGCACTGGTGTCTGTGGGAAGACAGGATACCGAGCTAGATGGACCATAGGTGCTGGAACTATGGGTGCTGCCACGCCCCATGGCTTGAAGTGGTTCCCATCATATACAGGGTTTACAGTTTGGTTCAATGGCTTTCAGCACCCCCACAACACAAATTGTTCCAGCACTGTTAAGATGGACCATTCTTCTGACCCAGTATGACCATTCTTATGAGCTATTCCCTTTTGCTGACAGCAAGTAGATGGTGGTAGCAGTCACTGGGACAAGCCAGAAGTAGCCAGGTCTGAGCCAAAGTGCCGTGTGGTTCTCTGTCCCCTCACCCCTGCTTAGGGAAACTGTTTCTGGATGCCTCAGTTGCATGGGAGTTGTGCTCCCCTCCAGCCTGCTGTGCCCTTCCTCTCAGTCTCTCCCCAAGTAGCCAGTGGAGCTGCAAGGAGCTTTGGGCTGCCTTCCTGTCCTCCAAACTGTCTGGAAGAGTCTAATAGGGTGTTTATTGGCATTGGTCCTGTAAGAGAGCAGGACAGTTGCTGTGGTGCTGATGCTATGGGCAGGGGAGGAGAAATGTATGAGATTCCCCCTGAAGATGCCTGAGCTCTGGGAGAAGCTGCTGTGGAATTTTTGGGAGACAGGAAGGGGACAGGAGGCTGCCAAGAGGGTGACAGGCTAATTAGTATAATCAGGCCCATGATGCCCTGTCACCAGACTGGGGAAAAAGACTGACATGGGGCAGCCTTGTGGGCGTTTTTTCAGGGGGTAAGATCCGGCAGCAAGAGAGGCTCCCAAATGGCATAGCTGCGCCATCCAGTGCGAGCTAAGCAAGCGGATCTCTCCATGCTCTAAAGCAGGTGGCCGGCGAGTGAGCAAGGGTCACATGACCTACAGTTTCAGGTTTGTACAGTGGCAGTATTGTAGTCTCTGAGATTCAGCTGAGGCATGGTTATTACTAATGGAAACCTTTTTGTAATATCCCACCTTGAGAGCTTGATTTACAGCTGTCATGGGTGATTTTTGGTGGTTATTGTAAAAGCTGACTTCTTGCCTGAGTAAAAAACCAGATGAGATGAAGGTTCTTGGGGAGGTTCCCTCTTTATTTTATCTTTTTTTCTCTGGGCTTTCTAAATTTCTTATTGGGGTTCTATGTGGTGTTTCTGGTTTGTTGGGGCAGGAATAAACATTGGTCTTGTCTTAAAGCTGTGGTGGTTTAGTCTGTGTTACTGAGGAGCTTGTTTTCCTTTTCTGGTGCTTTTTCTAATGAAAGAGTGAAAGTTATCTGAGACAGATCAAACTGTAAATGATCCAGTATGATGTTAATTTGATAATTTACATTAGGATCTTTTTTTTTTATAGTCCTAAACTCTTTTCCTTGCCTCGGCACTTATCAATACAATTAGCTAATTAGCATACAATATCCCAGAATGCTTCAGTATCTCTTCTTGTCTTTAAATTGGTAATAAAATTAGGGAAAGTCAAAGTCTGTGTAAATATCTTATTGCTTAATTATAACAGAGGTAGGTTTACATTGATCTGATGGAGGGAAGATTTCAGGGCATTCTGAGTTCTTGTGAAAACTCCCTTTAACCTGAAGAGTGATCAGATTTTAATGGTTTGTAAGATTGGCGAGTTTTCTTTAGCTTTGTGCAGTGGCAGTGTCATAGCCAATGAGGATAATCTGAGGTGTGATTATTGTTAGTTGAAAACTTTTACTAATACCCCACCATGTTAATTTGAAATATAGTTAACACTGGTAATTTTTGGCAATCTTATGTGAGACTGTTATGGTTGTTGTAAAATCATATTTTAATTGTGAGTGTCCATTATTGATGAACATATAAATAGGTTTTTGGAGTACATGTGATTTTTGAGTGGACCTAGTTGTGGGTGATGCTACTGTTCATTGTTTTGACTGTCAGGTGTTTTTTCTCTTGTTTTTTTTCTACTGTTCATATTACCTGTTAGTAGTGAGTGCTGCTGAATAACTGCATGTATGGAATGTTCTGTTTATTTAATCCATAAATGTCTCTTGATAATTTAGTTTTTGGCCCCCTTTCACAGGTACACCGGGCTTAAAGGAGCCCTTTAACGAGTGGGCCTAAAGGATAGCTTCCCAGTGCACTACCCACTGGGCATTGTGGCAGGGGCAGTGAACTCTGGGTATGAATGTCTCCAGGCTGGGTGACCCTGAGTATTAGCAGATATTACTCGGAGTACTTGGGTCTACTGTCGTGCAGTGGGGATTAGTGTTTCATAACAGTGGCGCAGAGCTACAACTCCGTAGTAATGTCCCTGAGCGCTTGGTTGGTGCATGGGGCTCTCCACCCTTCACACCCCCTGCACGTACTCAGAGAAAGGCACCAGCCAAATCCCCCCTAGCTCCCAGCCTTGTATCTCAGGAATATACCATCCTGCAATGCTCAAGACCCTTTCTTGAGCAATGCAAGTTTATCAATTGCTTCTCCACTTTGTCAATGGAAAGTAGATATACACCAGCCTTTGTAACCTGACAGATTTACCAAGCACTTCAGTCAAATTCACCTGTAAGGATAAACATTAAAATACATTTATTGATTACACAAGATAGATGTTAAGTGATTATAAGTGATAGGCAAAAATCAGAGTAGTTACCAAAGGAAAATAAAAGATAAGCACACAGTCTAAATTCTCAGCCTTATTAGACTAGGCAATATCTGGACTAAGCAGTTTTTCTTATCCCACTGCATATTGCAGGTTGGGTACAGTCTTTCATATGCAGGCTCTCCCTGTTAGCCTGGGGACTACTCTCCTCAGCTCCAGCATTCTCATTGCCTTCAGCGTAGGTGGGAGAAGAGACAGGACAAACCAAGTGGCCTCTGTCCCCTATTTTATATCCTCAGTCCATGCGCTTGGAGAACACAAGTCCAGACATATCTGGTGGGCATTGCTGAGTCACCAGGCAAGGTTGAACAATTCTCCTGGGGTGGACTTTTGCATGTGAGTCCTTGCATTGTAACTCCTTGCTGGACAATGTCTGTTGATGGTTGTTCTTCACCTGCCCAGGTGTGAGTTACCTCCCTTGTCCTGGTCTCTGGGGATCTAAAAACTGAGCAATTCCCCAACTCACAACATATTTTAGTGACAACCATACAACATAACCTCATAACTTCATATGCACTAATGCAGGGGTTCTCAACCTTCATTGCACCATGACCCCCTTCTGACAACAAAAATTATTACTACACAACCCC